GGTTTTAACGTATGCATCATATTATCATCGTCCCGATTACACACCGCTTTCTTACGACTCAGATCCTGCATCAACGAATTTCTATCTTCGAGCTGCCGGATCCTGTTCCCGTCGTTGTTTCAACTACCTTCGACTTTTCAAACTGGTAGTTCTGTGATAGATTTATTTGTGTTTTAGAAAATCTTTGCGTGGTCTGCTTCGTCTGTCTGCCCTCTTGGCTCGTCCTCAATTCTCAGTTTTTCATCTATAGATGCCTACCCCCCCAGCGAAAGGCTCTTCTGGAACAAATCCCAATCCCTTATCTGCATCGACTGTTCGTACAACGCAGAAATCCAGTTCTGACGCTGATTCCCGCGATCCGAGCTCCACCCCCGTCTTCACCCCCTCCTCCCCCTCTCCTTCAAGCTCTCCTCGGCAGGCAGAGAATATACAGGACGAGATATTACTGTCCAACATGTCTGAGCAGGCAGATTGCTCCTCCAGTAAAGCCGATGTTGCGGAAACAAAGCAGGAAGTGGAAGCTACCCCGGAGACAATCTCGTCAACATCTGATTTAAAGACATCTCCGCCAGCTCCAGAGTCTGCCCCGAAGAAAACACCGTGCAAAAAACATCCGAACGCTAAACCAAAAACGCAGAAGAAACAAAAGCAGAAGGACAGGAAGAAATCGAAGAAGGCCAAGGATTCTTCTAGCAGCGAGAGTGACGGTTCTTCCTCGTCAACCTCCAGTTCGTCGTCATCGGACTCGTCCGACTCAGATTCAGAATCCTCTGCCGCGGATTCCCACAAAAAGAACCGTAAGAAGCGCTCCAAGGAGAAGGAGAAGGAGAAGAAGAAGGCCAGGGCTCGCAAACATGCCTCCTCCGCCTCCGCCTCCTCCCCCTCCTCCTCAGACGATTCGGATACCACTGACAATGAGCTAAAAAACAATGCCAAAGCCGCAAAGAAGCTGAAAAAGACAAAAGCCAAGAAGAAGGCAAAGAAATCCCGAAAGCACCAGGAGGAGGAGGAGTCTGACGAAGAAGTCGATGCGGATAAGCTCGAGGAGCAACTCCGTACTACCCAGCAGAAGTTGCTGGCTCTCCGCATGAAGCATAACAACAACCGTGCGCGGAGGCTCCTCCAACCAGGGCAGATTTCTGATAAAACAATTCCAGCCGATTCTCGTGCAGGTCAAAAGGGATATCCCCCAAAAATTAAATCCAGAAAACGAAAGCGTGGATCGAAAGCTGCCTTTAAGCGTGTGGATCAATGTGAGAAACAACCCCATCGTTTTTTTGTCTTTCCACTTCTACCTCATACGTTACCCACGCTAACAACTTATTTCTTTCATTATATTAAATGCAGTATGGGATAATAACATACATAATTACAAGTTGACAGAAACCGTCGATGATCCCGATGCTGATGAGTGGGACCAGTATATATTTACTGTTCGACGCAAGTTTGACTGGGAGAACAAATACACAGACACTGTTGTAGACATCAAGAGCAAACCTCTGCGTGATGCACTGGCACATGTCATGGACGGCGTCAAAGGTGTTTCCTTAGTACAAGAAAGTCCCGTTGTTGACCCTAATATGCTGTTTCTATATCTTGAAGAGGCTCGAGAATACGCTAAGCAGCTAAAAGTCCTGGCCAAATCAGAGAGGAAGAAGCGAGCGAAAAGATTGGCTGCAGCTAAATTCTCCCATTTGAAGGTCCTGATCAAATATCTTGACGAGGATTATGCCGAGATCAAGAAGACATTGTATCCCCTCTTGGAATCAAACACAATCACCTTTGATCTGCTATGGGCGCTTTTCAAGCCAAATTCCATTGCTTATACTACAACATACTCCTCTACGGATGAGCCCCGTGCCTTCAAAATTGAATATGCCACCAAAGAGAGCTCTTTCGTGAAGGGACAGTGGTACTGCATTGAGGGTCGCTATCTCGAGTACGATGGCAAATCGTTTGGCATGGGTACTATGGCTGTGGAGGTTGAGTCCTTCAAGGGGCCCCGCAAGATTTCCAGCCTTATGTGTTACCCTCTCAAATATCATCGGGATCCAGAGGGCTTGAAAGAGACACTAATTGAGCGTGGTAAAAAATTCATTGCCCTCCAGGGTATGAATTACCGTTTCCACAAAGGCATGGCTTTCTACAAAAAGAGAAGATCAATAATTAAGGTTAACATTAATGGTCGTGTCATGGTTGATCCAGCTATCCATCGTCGAATTAACCCAAACTATCCTATCAGCACGGTAAAACCAAAGGACCCGGACCTTCTTGATGACTCCGAGAACGAGAGTGGTTCGGAAGCTTGTTGTTGTGCTGGTTCAGGATCGGAGTCAGAGCATTGGCCCAAGGAAGAGAGGCTCAAAACGAGACTCAAGTTGGTACAGGATAAAGAGGGGAAACCACATGTCATCGAGATTGAGTATGATGACAACGGCAATGAAATTGTCAAGGAAGATATGGATAAAATCACCGACAAGAATCAAAAGGGCGAGGAGCTTGAGTTCACAGAGGAAGAGCTCATAATCGCCAGCCCTGTCGTTCTTGGATTCGCTTTCAGCGAGAAACTGTGGCTGGAGTTCACGGTCTCTGGTATCAATGATATCGAGTGGAATTCGGGCGCCTTCGACTCCCTAGTCCTCCCTGGCAACCAGAAATCTATCGTTAAAGCACTGGTGGAATCGCACACCTTCCACGCCGCCGAAAACATCGATGATGTCATTCAAGGCAAGGGCAAGGGTCTCGTTGCAGTCCTGCACGGCCCACCAGGTACTGGTAAAACTCTCACAGCAGAAGGTATTGCAGAGCTCCTCCAGCGGCCTCTATACATGGTCAGTGCAGGCGAGCTTGGCACAGATTCACGCACCCTGGAGGGCGAACTCAATAAGATTTTGGACATTGCACATTCGTGGGGTGCTGTGCTGCTCCTCGATGAGGCAGACGTATTCCTTGAAAAGCGTACCATCCATGACATCCACCGCAACGCGCTCGTTAGCATCTTCCTCCGCCTCCTCGAGTATTTCCAGGGCATCTTGTTCCTGACGACTAATCGCGTCGAGACCTTCGATGATGCGTTCCAGTCACGGATACACGTTGCGCTGCGATATGGCGACCTGACACTTAAGGCCAAGCGGACTGTATGGAAAATGTTCCTTGATAAAGTAACGGTTAAAGAGGGAGTTGAGGTTGTCGAGTTCACGGAGAAGGACTACGATTCCCTCGCCAGGCATAATTTGAATGGTCGACAGGTATGTCGTTTTCTATTTCTTTTTTTCCCCCCTTCGACACCGTCTACTTTATTCAGTTTGACCTAAGCTACATCAATATATTCTAACATTGGGCAATCGAATAAATAGATAAAAAACTCCGTCCGAACCGCCCAGGCCCTCGCCCTTAACGAGAAAGCCCCACTGTCCATGGAGCATATCTCCCGCGTTCTGGATGTGGCTGAAACCTTTGACCACGATCTGAAAGGCGGAACAGGCTATATGGATGCCATGCGGAGCTATACCTAAATCCTTCCCCGCAAGCCATATTCTCAAAAACTTCGGCTCTTGTCTATTTCCCTCTTCTCTACTTATCTCCTCGCTCCCCTTTTCACTCTTTGCCTTTTCTATGATGTCTTACGTTCACTTATACCGGTTGTGTAACTATTAGCTATCCATCTATCCTAATTTCCTCCCTTTCTGATCGCTGATTTTTCAAATCTTGGTAATCTTGAACACGATATTTTGTTGTTCCTCCTTTATAATTTCACGGTTGTGATGCTGGATGTGTTTTGATCTCATCATTTTTTTAAAGTTCTGCCCATCTCGCCCATTTACGTAGTGGCAGCTGGCTAGCTCCCTTCAGTACGCTACCATCGACTCTTTGTTACCTCTGGCTTTCTGACTTTGACATGTGCTACTAAGTCGTCTACACACTGTATTTCATTATTTTACGATTCCTCTTCCTTTTGTTCGTTTTTCTTTCTCTCACTTACAATGGATTGATTCATGGCGTAAGCTTCTTGGGCAACATCGTTCCCCCTATCCCATTCAGCTCAACTCCACTCATCTCCCTGCTGCAACATCCATCCACTACAGGAAGAAGGAACAAAAAGCAGCACTCTCTCGCTCCCTTCGTAATCAATTTCAAAATTTGACTCCAAGAAATAAGATAAGAGGCTAAGAAAAAGGAATTGAAAAATTGACTGACTTTGGGTGAATCTGTCATTGACTTCTACTCTCTCTTGTTAGGTATAGTCATTGACCGTGATTATAAATTCATTCATTCCAGATTTTTCTGTAATCTGTCTTTCTCTCATCCATTCTTTTCAATGTCTCTTTCTCTTGAGTCTGGCTTTCCTACCTTTCATCATCTCCTTTTCCCCGACAGTTTTCATTTCTCATATATCAGTTTAGTCACATTCTTCCTCTACAACAACTTCTTCTCTATTCACTCCCCTAGACGAATACAAACTGAAGGCACAATAGCATAACATTAATTGAAAATATCCCCTTTCTTTGTTTATTCTCCTTCTAAATCACGTCTTCAATTCACCATCATTAATATCCTTCTGTGGAATTAGATCTTATGATACAACACACGCACTCAACAGGAGATGATATAATATCAAACACTTCTTCGCTGACAGAAAACCTCCTTATCTTTCTATATTAAGGGGAAAATAAACTCTTACATGACTTGAAAGAGCGGCAGTGTCCCACCAAGCATCCTGCAAAAAACCCCGCTTGCTGACCACAAGATGACTAAGATGACAGGAAAAAGGGCTTGCTCAAGGATGGATTCCTGTTTTAGGTGTGCAGTGTTTCAAACCAAACATCATATGAGAAAAACTATTTAGTGAACAGACTTATTTTATAGTATTTTGTTTGGGTTTTATGAGATGATACATTGTGTGTGGGGGGTATGGTAGATGGTAAAGGATTGTAGAGGAGGAAAGTAAAGAGTGTGATGGATGGAGGACATGTCTTGAAATTCATGAATGTGCATATCACTCATGGGTTGGTCTTGACGAACTGGACACCCTTGGTGATGTTCTTCTTCAGATCGATGAGGCAGGTATCGATGAGCTTCTGCTCGTACTCAGAGACTTTGCCTACGGGGAGGATCTCCTCAACACCATTGGGTCCAAGCTTGACGTTGGACGCAAAGAAGTTGATGCCCTGGTCCTTGTAGAGGGGACTGTCGACGAAAGTGGGCTCAATGACGTCCTTCTCACCCTGGGAGGCCTTCAGAAGGCTCTCAGCGAACCGGGCACCAGCCATTGCCATGGAGAGGGTGGCGGAACCAGCACCGTCCTTGGCCTTGACGACTTCGTCACCACCGAACTGGATGCGGTTGACGAGGGTTTCAAGTTTCTCGCCGGAGATGTCAGGGTGGTTGGATTGGGAGATCAGGGGTACGATGGTGACGCCGGAGTGGCCGCCGACGACGGTGACTTTCTCATCCTTTGGGTCGGTGCCTTTGGCTTGAGAGATGAAGCGGGAGGCGCGGATGACGTCCAGGGTGGTGACACCGAAAAGGCGCTTCGGGTTGTAGACATTCTTGGACTTGAAGACCTCGGCGACAATTGGGACGGTGGAGTTGACCTGAAGAGACTGAGATTAGAAGTGTTGTTTCAAGAGGGTTCAATATAAAGTATAGTCTTTCGTGAATAAGAGGGAACACATACGGGGTTGGCGATGACGAGGATGTTGGCGTTAGGAGAGGCATCGGCAGCAGCCTTGGCCAAGTCACGGACAATGGAAGCGTTGGTGTTGAAAAGATCTATTGTCATACTGTCAATATCCGCGAACGAGCCAGAACTAGGGGAATCGGAAATTTTTATCCACATAACATACCATCACGGGTCATGCCAGGCTTGCGAGGCACACCAGCGGGAATGAGGACAATTTCAGAGTCCTTGAGAGCGTCCCGGAGACCGGAGGGGGTAGGATCATAGCCCGTAACAGTGCTGTTGGTGTTGATATGGCTAAGATCGGCGGCAACACCTGCAGACGAACAATTAAAAGCACTTCAGCATCAGCACTATCTATCTAGAGCTTGACTAGAGATTCCAAGCAATCTATGAATCTCTGCTATAGCTCCTGTCTGAGCCAATTGGTTGGCATTTTGGTGTTAGTATGTGTATATATGTACCTGGGCCACCCCGGATATCGTACAGAGCCAGCTGAGTGACACGAGGACTGAGCTTCATCAACAGCGACAATGACTGGCCAATACCACCTGCGGCACCTAGAACGGCCACTTTGGAAGACTAGCAATGGATGATCATTAGCATTATATCGCTCTTTGGGACAGCAAATGATCGTTTACCTGGGGCGCAGAGACGGAGAAGGCCCGTCGCTGGGCAAAGCCGAAAGCTCTCCGGGCGGCAAACATGTTGGTGACTGGGGAAGGCAAGTAAGAAAATACAGGGTATCAAGAAAGATGGCAATGAAGGGAAACGAAAAAAGAAATGGAGAAGTGAAGGGTTGAAGGATTGAAGATGGTTCTAACAATTGACGATTGTTGTTGGTTTGACCGTGGTTAAAAAATGCGATGGCTTCAACCCGAGACCGGATACGCTAGTCCCCTTTCGGAAATCGCTCAGGGCCGGGTTTTCTCCGTAAACGCGGCTGAGTCATCACAGCGAAGCAGATTATATAAGCACCTTATCCCTTCAAGGCTTTGTTTGGGTTGGAGGATATAATACGAACTGATTTGTTGTTGTACAGAAGTATATCAGACAGAGTAGAGTAGCCGAAGCAGAATATAACAGAATTATATACCAACCAGTCGTCCAACAATACAATCATCATTGTCTCCATATTCTCGCGTCAGTTGATAGAGGCAGAGGAAAGCACACGGTGCTGCGAATACGGCGTGCCCTCCCCATGCTCTCTGGGTTCCCCACCCTCTCCGGCCCCCTGTTCGGCACACTCTCCAGACTAAACCCTTGCATATCTTTGGAACAAGTCCCAGCCACCTTTCTTTCTGCAAGGTTACAACCCCCGCTAACCCTTGTAGGTTCGGGAGGGATGGAAAAGAGGCTAATGTATCCTGCAACATGCCCTCACTACAAGCAGGTGTAGAAGATGGCCCTTCCGCCCTCCCCTCCACCAGAACGGACAGGATGATAGGCGTCCCGAGTTCCCAAGTGTGCTGATGTCATGGCCATTGGTGGCCCGCACGTGTTTTGTGATCCCGTGCAAAACCCTCTCCATGTGGAGACATCGAAGCTCTAACACAAAGAGACTAAATCTCTGCTGTATGAGCAAAATGTTCGGGAGGGTGAAGGTAGTGAACTATGTATAGACTGTCGGATAGTCTGCAACCAGTGCACTGGGATATTACAGGCCATGCATGCCATGCAATATCGAGCACTTCCCATGCAGTGAGGGTAATCTGTTGGAAAACGATATCTTGGATTTCACAGGTGCCGTGGCATGCCATTGCCGTGAAACCTATGGTGACTTCGTAATGCAATGCAGATGCCGGCCCGCCCGTCATCAATCATTGTTGATACCGGTCCTCAACAGCAAATGGAAAGAAAAAGGATTGACGTACTGTACAGTAGATGAGTTAGGGGTAGCAATGCGAACTTTTGAGCAGATATAATATATATAGAACATATCGAAAACTCGAATCGCTGCATTTCCCATGACAAGTAGTTAGAAGAAAAGAAGATAAGAATATGTTGAAAGTCTCTGAATCAATCAGACATTCCTCTAACTCTTGTGTTGCAATAATCTGCCTCTCAAGACATCCATCATACATAAAATAAATTATAAAAAAATAAAAAATAAAAAATAAAAAGAAAAAGAAAAAGAAATAGAAACACCCACCTCACGTCAAAAAATGCAACACCGCCCAACAAAACAAAAAGAAAACCACAACCCCACCCCAAAATATCCACTTATCCTGCTTCGCCCGTCGCTCAATTGTCCGTATAGTATCCCCGCTCACTCCAAGAGTGTTTGCTACGCTATATAACCGCCGTTGCGTCCCCTTGAGTATCTCCCGCTGCTGTCCTAGGTCTCCCAACACTGCCCGGCCCCGACCTATAAACTCGTCTAGCTGCATGTTTGTGCTGGAGAGGAAGGAGTGTTCGCGTAATGTGTGGGTTTCACGCGTGTAGTCTGTTGGGACACCGTTGAAGCCTAAACTGCCGCTCGGTGAGGGGCGGTGATGTGAGTAGTTTGGGTTGGCGAAGGGGGAAGATTGCGGGAGGTTGGATTGGGCGTATGGGTTTTCGGGTGTTGAGGCGTGGTGAGGCCGTCGGCCTAGGAGCTCATTGCGGTTTGAGGTGGATTGCTGTTTATTTTTTATTGATTGTTGTTAGATTGTGGAAAGTGGTTGATATGTACGATGTATATACATATATATATAAAGGGAGCAGTGGACATACAGCATCCTCGCGCTCTTTCTTTAGTCGATCAAACAACTGTCTGTAGTCCGCTAGCTCAGTCCGGAAATTCTTCAGGCGCTCAAAAGCCAGTTCTTGTTTTGCAGGGATGAGCTCTTGTTTGGATAAGGAGGAGTAGTCATCGATCGTGCGGGAGAAGGATGTTAGGGAGGCGGATATTTGGCCTGGTCCACAGCATATATGCTTAGCCAATAGAACTGTACTACAAATTCTAGAACAGGGAGGCGTGTATAAATTTGTCCGAACCTTGAACGGCAGGTGATGTGGTTGTTGGAGCTTCAGAGAAGGCGTCCAGGTCGCGGCGAAGTGCGGAGGACTGTTTCAGTGCTGCGTTGAACAGGGAGTTCTGAAAATATGTATATATCAGATCCTGAGCTAGGAAAGGAGCTTTGCCGAATCAGCACGTATTTAAAAGGACTGACCATGGTGATAGAATTGCGGAGGTTCAACTGGGCCGGTACGCTGCTGCGGTAGAAAAACAAGATGTTCAACTTTGGGGAATACAAGCAGCCCGAGGGGCTTGCTTCACATAGTATTCTCAATGGATCTGAGAAATATCCGTGAAGCTACTGAGGCAGTAAAACAATTGTTAAGGTATCTGGAGTGGAAGTGGATGTTCATAGCAGTCGGTATTTTGTTATGAGGTTTGGTTCCTTGCAAACTGTCCACTTGCATCATCGAAAGAAACTATAAAAGTTTTGACAAGTCTCACCGCCTTTCTTCAATCTCACCAACACCCCTGACAAGCATGCTGAGGAACATGCTCCGATAATCAGCTACAAAATGATGCAATACATAAATTCTTGTTTCCTCATCCTTACCCCTCACACTTCTCTTTCTTTTCTTTTTTCCTTCTTCTTTCTTCTACTGCATGATCTCCCACTTACAGGGCACCACCGCAGCGAAAATAGGATTGCCCACTGCGAGATCCATCGGATGGAGTAGAAGGATTCGCGACTAAATTTCGATAATTTTAAATGCATTCAATTCGAACTTTCAATATAGATACAGAAAGAAATTGCTAGCAGACATCAAACCAGAAACAACCAAGCATGTATGCATATGCATGCCATATGCTTTTTCATCCATGACAATTTGCGGTGACTACGTCCATTCATTGCCATAAACGGCATTGAAAAGACGAAGTCTTTAGGACCTCGGTTGACATCATGCATTGGCAATGTCATATGTACTTAACCAAACAGTACAATGAGCGTTGAGGAATTCCTAATGTTTCATGTCCATCATATGCTTAAGGAGAAAAGAAAAGCGAAAGAATACCGCAAGGATCCACATCGCTCAACTAGCCAACTCCAAATAACATATCAGTTTCAAAATAACAGGATGAGAAGCATCAGAGGAGCTGAGAGTTCATTCCCGCGAATGCGTGATTCGTCGATCAGACCAGGCGCAGTTGCATCAGGGCTAGCCCTCGTAGTTATTTACTTTGTCGGATACTTGTTCTGGAAGAACCACCTACACCAGATTCAAACAGAAATCAGCGCAAATGCATAATGACATGTAACACACATCGCACCCTCAAACCTTACTCTCACCATCAAGCAGAAAAGGGAACGTGGGGGGAAGTATAGTGGAGTAAGGGAGTAGGGGGTGATAAGGGACCACTCACTTGCTAACAAAATAATCTACAAACACTACCGCCCCAACGATGCCGGACCACATCCCAATAACCCTCCAAGTCAACGCCCCCCGAATATGCTTCTGATACGCCCCAAACCCCAACCCAGTGCCCGCAAACGTCATGAACAGCGCATTCCCCAGGATCACCGGATTTGTTATGTTACGGCTCAACTTCGCCTTGGCTACGGCGGTCTTAGTAGCAGCCTCCTTCCCAGCTTTCCGTTTACCTTTGTCTTTATCCTTGCAGAGTTCCCGTTCGCGCTCGCGTTCGGCTGCGGCTGCGGCTGCTTTTTCTCTTTCGCGCTCCCGCTCAATACGCTCGGCCTGGGTGGTGGTTTTTATTTCCTGTGATTCGAAGGTGGAAGGCACGGAGGAGACGTGTGGGGAGTCCACGTCGATGAGGGAGGTGTTTGTTGTGTCTGAGTCAGCTACTTCGATCTGTGGGGGTGGTGGAGCACGACTGTAGTTCGTTTATTCTTTTTGGTTAGGACATGTAATTCGCAGTGTATAGGTTGGATAGGCTGCTGAATGGGGTTGGGGGAGCATTAAAAGTATTCTTTCTGAGGTCTGAGGATAAACTCACGCCTATATATAATCGTTAGCAAGACTGAACGGATAAAGGTGTTCAACAGGTAGCTGAACAACAAGGACTTGTATTTTACAATCTCGATGATGACGCACCTCTTCAGGAGATTGCTGAGCGCCCCGGGAGGCTGCTTGGGCGTACGACATCTTCGGTTTGGGCTCCAGCTTCGTTAAGAGGATTGATGATAATGACGATGATGAACTTTCTCCTGTGTGAGAGACGAATGGTGTTCGCGATCAGCAGGAAGTTTTTGGAGAGTTGGAGGATAATTCGGGGATATTGTCAATCTATGTGCAGGGTTAACCTGGGTTTACCTTTCAGATGGTAAATATGTGTTGTTAGTGATGGAACTGTATTGTGTTAAAAATACAGGGTGAGCAGGATGAGAAAAGATTACAAACCAGACGGCCAGCCTTTTGTGCCTTGGCTAAACTTTCGCTGGGGTGTGTAAGAGTGGAGTCTGTATTGTATGTATGTACATGGCAGTTAGAAGGAATAATGCTTGCCAGTATGTCGAAGAAAGTAGGTACTTTTATAGAACCAGACAGCAGCTCTTACTTAACTGTCACTGGCCATGCTAATAATGGATAGCTCCGTTGATGTTGTTCCAACCGATTCCCTGATTCCCTGATTCCCAACGACTTCCAACCGTTCCACAGTGTTCCAACCGACCACAATGCGGCAGACATGACATCATCGATGATGTGGTGGCATGCTTCGGCACGTGGAAATTTCATATGAAGGTGACTTGGCCTGTTTGGCCTGTTTGCAGATTTTTCACTCACTCCACGTGATCCCTCAATATGAGCAATTCCAATAACATTTTTTTTTACAATTATTATAGCTTTAGAGCTGATAATAAGATCAATATCACTCACATAGCTAGAAGTTTGTAATAGACTAGCTGCTGAGAACAGCTAATAACTAACACATGTGAAAACAGAAAGAAATTGTAAAGAGAAAAAGAAAAAAGATAAATTATATAAAGAATTGAGCTTTCTTTTATACAAAGTGAAAATTCAATATGAAAATAACTGAACTAACATATTTATAATAGAAAATATACAGATAGAGATAGAGGCATTGTCTTAATAGCACTGAGTCAATGACATTAGTTCAATAGTATCTTGATAGCTTAAAGATGTAGTTTGAATATCATAAAAATTAAAGTAAAGCTTTTCATAGAGTTCTTACTATAGATATATTTTTATTTATAAATAAATTAACTATATATATATTAAGTAAAATAAATAAGACTGAAGATATAAAAAGATAACATTGAGATAAGAAATCAATAATAATATTATATAAATTATTTATTTATTTATTTATTAATATTATTATTATTATTATTATTATTATTATTATTATTATTATTATTATTATTATTATTATTATTATTATCATTCTTTATTTAAGATGTATTTAATTAATAATTATAATATTGTAAAGAGTTAAGCTCTAAAAACTAGAGACTAGTCCTTCTATATAACAAGAAAAAATTGCTTGAGAAAGAGAAGAAAAGAATGAGATAAGAACTTGAGCTTAAGCAAGCTCATGTAGCATGATCATGTGTGCATGTGCAAACAATGACTAGGCTGAGTCAGCCAGCCAGAGTGAATCTAAAGGTTCAATCTCTTATAATACCTTTCTTCTCCCTCTTTATTGTAGATCTTTATGACTATTTAAAGCCCTCTTTACATTTAATTTTGTCTGCTGAGAGGCCTCCCAAGTGTTCAAGACCTTCACTTCTTGTAGAAGACTCACATCATTTCATGTAGACTCAGCCCAACCTACTCATTTAATGAGGTATTGCTTTTTTCTCTGATAGGTTCATTCACTCTGAATTTCTCAATCTCAAACTCAAGTTCTTCCAGAGTCTCTATAGTGAGTGGCTGCCAGTCAGTTTACCTCTGACTAGACAGGGAATCTGTCACTGCAGCATGTAGAAGCTTTACATTAAAGACATTGTGAATGCCAGATGAGATATTCAGTCAGTAAGCATGAAATTCTATCTTTTCTAGCACAGTATATTAATTGTATTTTGCATCTAGCTTCTTGCACAGATGATTAGTTCTCATGTTCTCTAAGCTCAACCAGATCTTATCTTCAGATTGAAAGCTTGAAGTCAGATCTCTTCATTTATTCATGTATTTCTCTTGAAATTGCTAAGCATTTGTCATTTTTACTTGAGTTCACTTCAAGACTTCACAGATCTTTCTTATATAATCATCTGCAAACTCAATGAAATTATGTGATGTTTCAATGAGAGGTGCATCAGCTATATCAATGAAGAAGATGTGAAAAAGATGTGTTAAAAAGAACAAACTCATGCTCATTGAGACAGCATCTCTATTATTGATGACCAGCTCTGCTAGAGGAAGCTATTCATGCCAGTCATTCTGTTGAAAGCTAACATACTTGTGTAGATAGATTTTCAGAATCTAATTCATTCACTCTGTAGCTTTATCAGTCTCTGAGTGATAGACTGTGAAAAGTCATCTCTTAATGTCTAATTTCTCACACACTCAAGTTCAAAACATGCTTGTGAAAGCTGATCTTTGATCTGACACTACTGTTTTAGAAATATCATATTAAGAGATGATGTTGGAAAGAAACACTCTAGTCACTGTCTCTGCATCAGTTTTTTTAACTGCTTTTAATATAACTTTCTTGATTAGTCTGTTCATTATAATCATGATGTTCATGTATTCTTTAGAGCTCAGTAAGTTTACAATAAAGTTCATAGAAAGCTTCTGTCACATATGTTTAGAAATGAGAAGAGGTTTAAGCAGTTTCTGATGTCAATCTCTTCATGCAGTATTTAATCTGTAAAGATGACAGTTTCTGATCATTCTTCTTACATCAGCAGCATAGTCTGACCAGTAGAACTCACATCTTAGAACTTCTGCTATTTGCTCTTACTCAAAATGACCAGTAAGAGATGAGTCATAAGTCTCATACACTAATCTGATTTGAAGAGGTTCAAAGTCTGATACTCACTTATGATCTTAAAAGAGAAGCTTTCTGTTCTTGTTTAAAGAGCACTTAGAGACAGAGGTCTTAATGCTGAGTTCAGAAGAAAATCTGAATCTTTTCTTATGAAGAGTTTGCTTCAGATGCTGCAGAATCTTGTCATTTTTGCAGATCTCATTTCACTGAGTTTGAAGAGACATCTCAGATTTCATGCTGGCAGTAGTCACTATTGATTTCATTTTAAATATCAGTACATTAAACTTAAGTAGTTGAGTTTGTCTCTGCTTGATTCTCTCATCATCAGCACTCTGTGGCATGTTCTACTCTCTTTGTGATAGAGTGTTCAGTCTAGTGTTCAACTTCTCTTGCTAATAATCAATTCTGAAGTTGAATCAATAGAGAATATCCATTCAATGTAGCTGTCTTTCATTTAGTCTGCATGTAGTCATGAAGTATTCTAGATTCTTATGATCTGTGAGAATCTTGAATTTCTTTACACTTCATAACTTAGCATCTCATTTCTTTAAACACTCAATTATCACTAATAACTTCTTATCATGAATCTCATAGTTGTATTCCGCAGGTGAATGCTTGTGAGAGAAGAAGGCACATAGACATAGAATGCTCAGCTCATCATATTGTAGCAGCACTTCTTCTGAAACATAATTTGAGAAGTTCATTTTCAATATAGTTTCATAATCAGAGTTGAATTGAAGCAGGATTGAAGTGAAGATAAACATTGATTTTAGACACTTAAAAGCTTCCTCAGCCTTGCTTATCCACAAAAAAGAAACATTCTTGCATATAAGAATCATCAGTGAGGTTATAATCTTTGAGAAATCTCTGATAAATCATTTATAGAAATTGGCAAAGTCTAAAAATTCTCATATATCTTTAAGAGTAGTAGATGTTACCCATTTCAAAACAGCTTTAATCTTCTTCAGATTCATTTATATACCCTTGCTCACTTTAATGATGAATTCAAGATATTTTATGCTGTTCATCTTAAACTCACTCTTTCTGATATCTACCTGCAGGCCTGCTTTCTGTAGACATATAAACATCTTTTGTACATGCTTATGATGCTCCTGTAAGCTTCTTGAGGAAAATATCATGATGTCATCTAAACAGACTGAGCAGAAGTTGTTCAGATATCCACATAATGCCCAGTTGATATATTTTTGAAACATGCTCAGAGCATTGATCAAATCAAAAAGTGTAACCAGTCACTCAAATAGCTCATATCTGGTTCTAAAGACTGTCATCCACTCATCACCTTCTGTGATTTGAATCTTGTAAAAAGCTGCAATAATATCCAGCTTAGTGAATCATTTAGCCTGTTCAATTTACTGTAGAGTCTCACTGATTAATGATAGAGAATATTGATTCTTTCAGATGATTTTGTTAAGAGCTCAATAGTTCACACAGAATCTTAGCCTATCTTTAGACTTCTTTGTGAATAGTACAGAGGTAGCTGCAGAGAAGTTGCTCACTCTAATAAAATTCTTATCTAGATAATCTATAAGAGTCTTTCACAAAGCCAGTAATTCCTCTCAAGACATATTATATAGCAGGCCTCAAGGGGGTTGTTCCACACTATCATCAGCCTTTTTAATCAGTTCAATACCATGATCTCTATCTGAGTCATGAAGTGGGGGTAGAGTGTCAATAGCTTCCTTATCAAATATGTCTAAAAACTCATGATAATGTCCAGACAGCTTTTCTCTAGGATTAATCTTTGATTCCACTTCTAGAGTCTTTTGAATGTTGGCCAAACTGACAGTGAAGATCTTGATGTTTCACTTCTCTCAAGTGCTCACAAGCCTAGAGAAGCTTATGGCAGAGATGGGAATCACATCAGCTTTTGCATTTGAACTAAGCTCTATCTCTATGCCACTCTCTTCAAATTTCACAATTCTTTGATAAGAGATCACAGTCACCTTTTGCTGGGCCAGCCAGAGGTCATCTAGATACATATCATGATCATGAAACTCATTCACCACATAGAGAAAGATCTGTTCAGTTATGTGATTATCTATATCAATTCAAATACCAGTTACTATGCTCATAGAGAGTCTCATGGAGTCTTCAAAGCTAGTCATTTTAACAGAGGGAATTTCAATACACAGAAGCTTATGTTTATTAATGTAGAATTGAGAAATAAGATCATAGACATTACATTCACTGTCTATCATTGCTCTAGTTGAAAAGGCATTATCTACTAGAGTATCAACAGTGAAGGGTTTGAATATCATCTTAGATTTAAATCCTCTTCATTGCTTCTTCATAAGCTTCTTATTTTGCTTCTTTCAGTTTCTTTTGATTGAAGCTACTCTTTTTCCTGAATCCTCACTTGTATCCACATCATCATCATCCAGTACCAGCTCAGGAATCATCTTAGCTATTGTGGAAGTGACAGAGCATCTGGAAGATTTGAATGAACAGCTCTTAATCATATGACTTCTGACTTTGCATCTTAGACACAGGTCTTGCTCTCTTCATCAATTAACCTCTGTCTGATTTATCAATTTGATGTGATGAGTGCTTGGGGTCACAGCATCAGAAAAGAGATTCATCAGATCATCAGCAGAAGTTTGAGACTGATTTCATCAATCAAGAACAGCATGACAAAGTAGAGAGTGTAGATTAGATATTGTATGATTTGAAGAAGATCTGCTCTCATAATGTTTAGATCACTGTCTTAAAATCTTAAGCTCAGAGAGTTGATGATCAATTAATCTAAGCTTCTTATAGTAATTCTTATAGAGAGATGATTCTCTTACACCCACCATGTCTTCCCTCAACTTCATGCTTAGAGTAGATTTCAAATATCTCTTTTTAATGTGATCATTCTATCTGTGATCACCAGCTTCTAGCAGTAGCTGATTAAATTTGAGCAGAAAGTCAAAGAGAGCTCTTCTACTCTGTCATAGATTGTTGAGCTTTTTCATAATCTTTTTCTGTCATGCAGAATCACTAAAGAGCATGTGTGTCTGCTTCAGTAAGCTCTCTACTATGAAATTGATCTTGTTCTTATTATTCTCAATTCAGAGATAAACTCAAGCTGCTGTCATTTCTTCCAGTCTCAAGTACACATATCAAGTACATTTCTCATTATTATCTAAAGCTTTCTCATCAATCTTAAGTTTTGATTGAAGCTTTAGCTCCCACTGAGAATAGTGCTTCAGATTAGAATCATCATACTTCTCACAGTTCAGTAGCTTGATCTTTGATCTTCTAACTGCAATGAGTGATTGCAGGTTCAATTGAGAGAGAATTGATGTCAGAGTATTCAAAGCTTGTCATAGATTAGCTATTTCAGCTTGCTGAGCTGCTATTAAATCTCTGTTTTCATACTAGATCTGTTTCTGCTGTTGAAGAAAGACCATTCATTGTTGTTCAAAGCTGCTGAAGATGTCACTGCTCATTGCTTCATGTTGATTCATTTGTGTATTTGTTGTACAAGTCTGCTGCTTTATCTCATTCAGCTAGATGTTTTCAATGTTGCTTGTTCATTTGTTAGCATGATTGCTAACCCAGTCTATTCATATACCAGTGCTATCACTGAACTTCATGATGTAGGATTTAAGGCTCCTAATAGCTTATCATATGTCAGCATGTTTGCTGAGCTTTATGATACAGAATTAAGACTTCTAGTGGCCTATCAATGAAAGGAGTGAAGCAATTTATAATGTAAAGAGTTAAGCTCTAAGAACTAGAGACTAGTCCTTCTATATAACAAGAACAAATTGCTTGAGAAAGGGAAGAAAAAAATGAGATGAGAACTCAAGCTTAAGCAAGCTCACATAGCATGATCATGTGCGCACATGCAAATGATGACTAGGCTAAGTCAGCCAGCCAGAGCGAATCTAGGGGTTCAACCCCTTATAGTAGTAGAAATTGAAATTGAAACTTAGAAAATAAATTAAAGAATTATATTCTGATTATATATTAAAAAAAAATTATAAAATAATGTTTTGATAAATAAATAAAGATTTGAGAAAAAGTACTCAGTATATAAAATATAAAATGAAATTAAAGTAAAAGTTCTTATTTATAAAATGTAAAAAGAAAATATTTTCTTCTATAATATAATTAAAATTTAAATAAAACTATTTTAAATTATATATAAAAAGATTTAAAGATTCTTTGAACTTTGATAGATATAATTTTTATGATATAGTTAAAATTTCAAATTATATATTAATGAATTACTTATTAAACAATGAGATATAAAAGAAATTAAAAGAAAAATATTTAATTAATCAATTAAATATAATATTTTTATTTAACACTAAATTAGAAAAGTTTTTTATTTAAATTTATAGAGAAAATAAAAATTATCTTTAAAAAATAAACTTTAATCTCAAATGAATTTAATATTTAATTTATAAAAAAGTTGAAAATATTTTCAAAAATACTTTCTTTAAAATTTTTTTAATATTAAGTTTATTATTTTATTTTATTTTATTTTATTTTATTTTATTTTGTTTTATTCTATTTTGTTACTTGTTTTATTTAAATTAAAAAAAAAGACTAGATTGAAATTGAAACTATGTATCTTTTGTTAAAGATTGTTAAATACTGTATTATTTTAAAATAAAACTCTATAAATGTATGAATTGATTACTATTTATTAGTTAGATTAGTAAAAGAGTTAAATCCTAGTTTTAACTAGATAGAGATCATAATTACTGACTGAATACATCATAAATAAATAAATAATAATAATAATAATAATAATAAGCTTATCTGATTGACAATCAAATATCTGTTTATCTGTACCTAGTCTTAACTTTAATTTAATATTTTTCTAGTAGTGATATAATAATTTTCAATCTTTGCACTTTCAAATCTTCAATTGCAAGTTTAATTAAATCCTCATTTGACATGAGAGATCATGTGAAAGGTTGAAGAATTTGACTATGTTGAGTGAGAAAAATTGAAGCACTGAGTGGCTTGAACTGAACTGATTGATCTCTTTTGTGTGATGACGTGATGAAATCGGCCAAGCCTTTCAATGAGGTTGATTAACCTGTAACTCTGTATGCTCTAGCAATTTAGCTACAGAGTACTCCGTAGCTAGATTACTTTAAAATAAATAATTTCACATAGTATTCTATAATATAATACTATATAAAATCTTTTAATTAGAAATATTGGATGTGGAAATCCTCCCCTCCGCGAATTTTGTTTTCCCCTGGATCCTCCACAGTTAAAAGGCAATATTAAGCATTACACCAAACCAGGGTAACCACTAACTAGTTACTAAGCCAAGTACGTGCATCTTCTTTACTTCTGTATCCTTCAACTGTCAGGTCTATCCGCCTTCTTATGTAATCCGCACTGTATATAACTTCTGCATAGCTAGTGATTGCTTCATAATCAATCAAGCAATCTATCCTTCACAGGTTATGAGACCTGTTTTGCGCAAATAACTGCCAATTCAGGGAATTCTTACCAAATATAGTGTATATTAATCACTGCTCACTTCATTCAATATAATATTGTCTTATTTTATGTCAATTGATTGATTTGGCATGCTCTTATATTATTTTTTTTTCAGTGTTCAATCTGTTCACTTAGCAGGTGAAAAAATCTGCAACTCACTAATTTTTCAGTGACTGATCACACAAGAACGCGCCAATCCACTCAATCAAGCTTATAGGCAAGAATCTCACTGAATAAGATTACTCCATTATAAAGAAGATTAATACAACATGGCAGAATGTATGATGACTCACTCACAGTTGTGATTAAGCCAATCCAGCCAATCTGACCAATCTGAAAATGACCAGGGGGGTCTGAGCTCACTGACCCCCCCAGGGGCGTTCAAGAGTTCCAATATTGGACGCCCTGAAATGCCCAATCAGCAAGCTGGGCTGATTACAGCCCCTACAGTGAGGCCAGTCCGCCTACGTCATGTCGAATATGCTGATCTGACACCTTCAGAAGATGGGGTGGAGACGCCTGCAGCAACCTCTAACCTGCTGCCGGCAATCAACTCCGAAGAATTGCAACTGAGGAGATTTGATCTCAAATGTCAAAAAATTGATTTAGAACTTCAAAAAGAGAGGTGCAAAGAATTGCAGCTTCAACTTCAATTGGAGGGGCTCCGCACTCAGAATGACAGGGCCGTGATGCCCACAAATCCGCCGGTGGGTCGACTGTCAGCATGGGATCTGAACTTGAGGTCTCAAATGCAATATAACCTCTACAACCCGGATAGCCGCGTCGGCAAGGTGATCAGCCAGTTCAAACAGGATACTAAGTATGCCACCAAGCTGAATGCTCTGGTCAGATCTTTGAATTACCTCTCCTGGCATGTGAATATGAAGGCCAAGCTAATTGACGCTCAATGCTGGGTTATATTGGAGGACAAGCAAGTCAAAAGCCCTGATGGGGACCCCAAATGGGCTCCTTTTTGGGAGGCCAAAAATCGCTGGCTTTATGTGTTCATTTTGAACCCGTTGGCAGCCAGCATTAGGCCCTGTTTTAATAAGTATGATGAGGGCAGGATCACTTATTCCTTTTGACATGCAGTTGAGGAGGAGTTCTCCATCCTGAGAACACAGCTCTGCAGGGAAGCAGTCCTGGTGTTTACATCAATGAGTGGTGTCCAAGTCACTGATGTACACATGTTTTTCAATGAGTTCAATGACATTATTATGAAATTGGAAATACTTGATATTTTACTGTCAAATGATGTGGTATTCCACATGTTCTATTCTGCACTTCCCAATATATGGTGAAACTATGTGCAAAAGAAAATTGAGGAGGTACAAGAGTCCAAATCAAAGTCTGTCATGTTGGATGTTCATTCAATCATGGAGGAAATACACTCTCAATTGAACCCCCCCAAAGAGGTCAAGAAGGCCTCCCATGCAGCTAATTCTTCGGCCAACGTGGCTCAGGCCAAAAATGCGGCTGCAGGTTCCAATAATAGCAGCAACATCCAAAATAATACAGCCTGTGGGGGCTGACCCAGGGAACGCAGAGGCTATCAAACAGGTGGACATTTGAATTCTGACCTCCCAATCTGCCCAGAATGTGAGCATCATCATGGCAGGCTCTGCTGGGCAGCCAATCCAGATAGCATCTCTGAAGAATGAAGGATTGCCAACACAGTGAGAATAGAGAAATATAATAATAAGAAGAATAGTGAGGGCAAAAAGGCCCTGCCAACTGCAAATGACAGCTCTGAGATGTTCCAAATGGCAAATCTAGTGCAGGTCATTGAGGTGCCTGCATACTCTGCTGAACCAATTGCCAACCCACTCACTATATGAGATAGTGGGGCTGGATGTCATATTGCATATGATCAATTGCAATTTTCTCAAATAACAGAGGTTAGCAGCTCTACAATTCAAGTGGCCAATAAGGCTGCTTTGAAGGTTCAAGGGATCAGAGGTTGCCTCCATCCCAGTCAGAGAAAGATTAATTGAATTTGACCACATCTATTTAGTGCCAGACTTATCCACCAACCTCATATCTGCTGGCCTATTGGAGTGCCAGGGCTATATTCACCATGATCTGCAGATGGACACTGGAAATTACTTTGAGATAATAGCATCTATAGAAAATGACATCTTCTATGTGAATTTGAATTCCAATAATATATATGTTCTATCTGACACCCCCTCTATGTTTGAGGGTAATATGAATGATCTGGAGCTTGAACCACTGGCATACTTGACAGTTCTGAAGTTCAGAGCAATTTCAACAGATTATGATCTGAACACTGCATCACTGGGTCTTTTCAACCATGATGATGTGGAGCAGCTAATTAATCTGAAGGATCTGGATATCAATACCTTCATTGTGTTCCCATCAATCTGACTCTCCACTATTATGCTGAAGCAGCTACTGATTGATGAGTGGCACTGGCAATTGAGCCATATCAGTGGAAAGAATCTAATTAAAATGTCACAGGAGCTCTGTTTTGAAATTGCCATCATCAGTCTGAAGAAGCTCTCATTCTGCACCATGTGTGTTAAAGTCAAGCATAAATGTGCAAGTTATAAAAATGCCTCACTACACTGTGCCACCCACAAAGATCTTAAGATCTGAGTGAATCTATTTGAGGGTGGAGAAATGCTTGATAATGAAGAAGATACACCATCTTATGCAGATAAGAAGCTCATGATGATGATCACTAATGATGCCACATGAATGTGGTGGACCTTCCTATTGGAGTGCTACAATAAGACTTTAAAATATATATGGACCTTCAACCAATTTATGAAGAATCTGCTCAATTGTGATGTTGTGATTATTCACTCTGACTGCAGTGAGTTGAACTCAAACACCACAGCCACCTATATGATGAGTGAGGGTATTAAATGAGAACCAACCCTGCCTCACACTCTGTGGCAAGATGGTGTGTCCAAACATTCCATTGGTCTGATTATTGAAAAAGCCTGAACATTATTAATAGATTCCTCCTCCTCCTCCCCCCCCCAGATGTGGGGTGAGGTGGTAATTGCAGTGACTGAAATGCTTAACCTTATGCCAACATCAGCCAAGCTCTATAACAGTATAGAGGATCCAGATTCAAAGCCAGTTACTCTGTATGAAGCTTGGCTCAGGGCCCTGCCCTCTGCATGTGGGATTTGCTGATGGGGGTGCAAGGCTTATTTAAAAATAGTGCTCAAGCTGAATATGAAGATGGCCTCATGATCACAGAAGCTTATATTTGTGGGCTATGATGGCTTTACTAATTATAGATTGGTTGATTGATCTAACAGTCATCTTTATGCATTGAAAGATGTGATATTTCAAGAAGATCTTCATTTGGTGGATTCTCTGGCCCTGTCTGAGCAAGGTGCCAAGAACCTGCTATCCACCGCCTGTGTGGCCACAGTTGTGATCCCCTCCACCCAACATGATTTATCAACAGATGATTTCATGGTGGATGGGGAGTTTCTATCTGTCCCTCCAGTATTTCTACACTCTACAAATAATTGATGAATAGACTATGAGATTACTGCACAGATTCCAACATTTTTGGTGCAGAACACTACTGTCCTCCCAGGGTCCACTTTAGAGACAGAGGATCCTCCAATGCCCACTGAGAATATTACTTCAGTGGGGGAGGCCTCAGTGAGGGATTTTGCTGACAATTCAACTGATGTCCCCACAGACCCCAAGATCACCAGCTTGCCAGTTCTGAAAAACCTCATCCAGGCTCAGGTGTCTGCAGATTGGAAATATTACTTTCATGCCTGCATTAAGGAGATTAATCATCTCAAGCAGATTGGTGCATGGCAGCTAGTTGAAAGGACCTCAAATATGGCAATTCTATGTGGCCAATGGGTGTTCAACAAAAAGATTAATAATGCAGGTAGAATTGATTGATATAAGGCCTGCTGGGTAGTCTGTGGCAATTATCAAGAAAAGAATGTCAACTATTTGAAGACATTCACATCAGTTGTATCAGCCTTCACCTCCTGAGCACTTATGGTGATCTTGATATCCTGAGGATGGCACATTCTGCGGATCAACATGGTTATGGTGTTCTTAAATGCCCAGCTTCCCATCAATGAATGTATATATATGCACCAACCCACCAGGTTCCGCGAGGGATGTGGTGATCTGGTATGTGAATTGATGCAGGGACTATATGGTCTGAAGCAAGCAGCACTATTATGGTATGAGGAGCTGCAAAAAATGCTATTGGAAACAGGCTTCCACATCAGTTCTCATGACACCAGTTTTTTCATAAATGATGTCTGCAAGGTCTATATAACCATCTATGTGGACAATGTTCACCTATACAGCCCAAATATATCAGATATTGAATGGACAAAAGCCCAGATCGCTGCTAATTATGAGATCAAGGATGTGGGTGATTTGAACTAATATTTAGGTATGAAGATCAATTGAGATGCCAAATCATTATCACTGTCCCAGCCACTGTTTATAAAGAACCTGCTTGAGGAATTCTCAATGGATGACTGCCACCCAACATCCTCCCCTATGGAGGAGAATGTTGATTTCATGAGTGAGAATGAAGAACTGATTGCTTATACAGTGGAATTTACATTATGTTCCTACCAATCAGGGGTTGGCTCTTTGCAATATCTTGCTGCCAACACACACCCTGATATAAGTTTCACCACTGGCTTCCTAGGGAGATTCGGCTCCCACCCTACCTCAAAGAATTGGGCGGCATTCAAGTGAATTCTTAGATATCTACAAGGCACGCCCGACATAGGTGTGTCCTACTGAAAAGACGCAGATATAGAACCTGTGGCATTCACTGATGCTGATTGGGCAGGCTGTGATCCAGGTTCCCGCTCCACCGCCAGATATGTCATTTATATGGCAGGGGGTCCTGTTGCTTGGCAAAGCAGCAAGCAGACAGGTGTTTCAAAATCATCTACTGAGGCCAAATATATCACATCCTCAGAGGCCACCTATGAGCTTGTCTGCCTCCGGGAATTGCTGGAGGATGCCGGCTTCATGCCGTCCCAGCTCAATAATCTTGATGACAATGACAGCCCGATCGAATCGCCGGCCAATAAGCTGGTATATATGATTCAGGCGGATAATAAATCAGTGATTGAACTGGCCAAAAGTGAGGCTATTCCGCGCCAATCTAAGCATATAGAGGTCTGCTTCCATACTCTTCAGGATCTCGTCCGCAAGAACGAGATCTTGATTGATTATGTCCCGTCCACCGAGAATGCGGCAGACGGGCTGACCAAGCCACTTGGGGCGACTAGATACGCCCTATGGCAGCAGATATTAGAAGACGCGGTAAGCGGGCGGAAATGATTATATGGAGGAAATGACTGGTTTTTCAACAATATGGGTTTTCCAGTCAAATTATGTACCGATACCTAGCTACAGGCTATTTTTTGCATGTAATCTCGCGTACAGTTACATCGGTGAGTGGAGGTGTCAGGCCTATCCGCCTTCTTACGTAATCCGCACCGTATATAACTTCCGCGTAGCTAGCGATCGCTTCATAATCAATCAAGCAATCTATCCTTCACATCAACTGCTTGTACACTACATACTTCCTGAACCAGCGAGAAAATCCATGCAAGGCACCTGGTAAGTTATATCTTTCTCTCATTGAGATTTTGAAGCTGAGAAACTGAATGCACACAAGTATCTGGGTACTTATTTATTAAAATCGGTCTTTACAAATGAATAGTTATTAAAAACAATAATTTCTTGAGCCTAGACAGAACAATTTGGTAAAGAGCAAAACAGCCATTGTACTGCAGCTACATGGTGGGATATCAGGGTATCTGACTCTGTTTGCACAGTATATACATCACTGCAGCACATTCGTCATTGTCTGGACATTTGCAACCTTAATGAGGCTTCGTGTCTGTCCAAACCCAGCAGGTGTGAGGCCGGAAGATATCAACCCCGCAGTGAATTAACCACACATCATGATTCTGTTTAATATGGTTATTTCAAATTTTAAGTTAGCCATTTGCCCCTCTCTTATTTTTACAAGCAGTTAAAAGGAAAGGGAAACTTCAGGAAACCCACATATGCCAAATCCTTACATTCCGCGAGAAAGTGGCAGTCCCAATCAAATAGACACTTTAGAGAAAACATTGTGTTAGTTATCCATGATAAAAAGGTGCTTTAATTTCAGGGAGATTGGGGTTGATTTATGTATATCACATACTCCTGCAGGAAGACCACAGACCCTCCAAGCTAGCTCTTTGGGGGGGCGGCTTTTCTCAATGGCAGCGCCCATGGCACCGGCAATGAATGATAGTAAAAGTACGAGCTTCATCTTGATAAGCGCGTTGGAGGGGTTGGTTTTAATGTCTTTTTTTCACACACTACTTTTGTAAATTGGTAGGACAGTTGAATCTTTCAAATGAACTTCAAGAACTGAAGCACTGTCTTCTTATATTAAGTCCAGCGTTGCAACATAGACTCGTTTTGCCACACGACAAGGACATTCTACAGAAGAAAGCTGTAAGGGATTTTGGTTATACCCAGTGTTCAATTCGAATAGATTTGACCTTATATATATTGAATCCTTTGGGGCCCCCAGCAAAACGGAGAGGATCTTTAGACTTCAACCTCTACCATCCATCCAACAGACATCATTTCATTGTTAAGCAGATCTTTTGAGGCAAATGTTGGGTTACATCCCACAATGCTTTTATTATGCTTAAATAAAATTATGGAATATTCATAACTGATCGCTTGTTCAAAAAGCCCAAGTTAGCTATGTTCCACAGGTTCTCAGCACGTTGCAACTTAAAGTTTCCTATAACAAAGTTAACAAAGTTAGCTGGATCTAGTTAAGCGCTCGTCTAAGTAAAAGCTAATTAGTTAAAAATCTATATGGTTACCTAATTGGGCAGTTTCTCCACTTTTCTCTCCAATTCTATCCCTAAACCGGGAGAGAGTAAGTTAAACCTCATCATGGCTCAACCTTAACTTAAATCATGAAGCTTTGTAAGGTTGGTCAAAAAGTGGAATAAAAGCGCAAAATTCAAGAATAGAGCTATGTTACATTTTTAATCCCTCTCTCTTCCTCCTTCTCATTTTGGCTCAGTGGCGTGGGGTGGTATCAGACTCTTTTATACCCTTATGGCATGACATTTGTGGAGGAGGAGCTGTGTGGTAGCTGTGGGGGACAATCCCAAGTTGCCGAGATTATTGAAGCAAGTAACCGGTCACCTCTCCATGGGGCAACCGGGGTTGCTAAAAGAGCGGGGAGTAATACATAGCCCAAGGAGTCTCCATGGCTCATAGCCTATATCTGCTCTGCCGTCGATGATGGTAAGGCGTGTTGGGGTGTGAGGAGTGAAATTCTCTGCCCAGAGCGGATATAGTTTAGATGAGGGGTTTCT